ACAGATTCATGAAATTGTAACTAGATCATCATTATCCTCTAAAATGTACTACTGCTTTTAAAGTGACTACTTTGAGTTAAGGCAAGCACACCTCTTGGTCCATTTTATCAGCACCCTGATAGCCATTGGCACAGTGCAGGCTTAACAAAGCATGTAAGTAAAAGGAAACAAAACACTTACGTGCCTTTAGTTTAGGAAACTAAACCCTGTCGTCTGTTTAACTCCTGTAGAACGATGTATTTTCTGAAATGAATGCTTCTCACTGAATGTGTTAATTCTCATTAAATTTCATTTTCTCATTATAAATGTCCTGAAAATAGATTTTTTTACTGCTTCAGAAAGAAGAAAAAAAAAAAATCAGCTGAAAGCCTGACTTTTTAGGAGCCTAATAAACTGCTGTGCATGCCAAAACTGAATATACATTTCATTTCATGCTTCATTTTCACATCCCAGTAATCACACGGTGTATGGAAGCGCAGCACTGTTGTGCACGATCAGGGGTCAAAGTTTATTAGCTGGGAGCAATCAGGCTCAGCTCACCTATGGTGTGTCTAGTGCACACCAAGCAGCACACAACTCAAGCACATGAACGCTAGTTCCAGTTCTATTTGCCACAAAAGACATTTAAAATGTAATCTCTCTAGAGGCCATTCTACTTTCATGTGACATAGTTTCTTTTCCCCCCTCTCTGTAGTTTCAAAAATAAGATTTCTGTTTAGGATTAAATATCAGAACAGCTAAGTGTTTGCAGCCACAGCACTCCTGGGTGAATGGAGGCTGAAGAGTGACTCTTGTTTAATAAAGCTAAACCAGTAGATTTTAACCACTGTGGATCCATGGTCTAATTCTAAAGCATATAGATCTGGTTCTAAAGGTAGGTAAGGAAAGCAAAGCAAGTGCTAGTGGCTTAGATTTGTCACACAGAAGCCTGTATTTCCATGGGAAAATGCTTAAGGACATGCAAACCAAAAAAAACCCCATTGCTTTAAACAATGTGCTGTGGGTCTGTGCTTCACGAACAAGAACATTTTCACCCAAGTTTAAAAAAAATTAGAATTTCAGTGCTAAAGAGTGACAAGTCCCAAAGTCTGCTCTACAGCATTGCAGGGTCTTTTCTGCTTCACAAAGAGGAAAGAACCACAGTGGATCAAATAAAACTGCAGCTGATGACTCCTAAATAATAGTGACCATTAGTAAGAAGGTCATTGCCTTACTTTAAGGCAGCCTGACAGTGACAAAACAATTAAAAGAGAAAGAAAACATATTCCTGGTCACATTACAGTCCATTAAAAACCTGCCATTACCTTCTGCCATTGATGGACTTTGCATCAGCCCTTAAGTATCTGAGTCATGTGGACATCATACCCATTTCCTACAACTTACACATATTTTTCAAGATTTAAAGCACTGTAGTCTCAAGACTTTAACTCAGTGTGTAATGGTTTTAACATATATTTTACATCTTAATTTGCCATAATAATGTGGCTATAAGCTGCTGTCATTCGCTCCCTTTTTCTGACCTTGGAAATAAAATGTTTAATCTCCATGGGATTTTCCTGGCGAGATATTTTAAATCAGTGCATATGTACATACTTTTCGATATGTTTTTTCAATTTTCCTAAAATATTCTCATATGTGCAGACATGATGACTAGACATGTTTCAGTGGTGCTTGAAACTTGATACAAGTGGGTAATTTAACCATGTAATTGAACAATATTACAGAAATACACGGAGTTTCCTAGCAACAAAAGGCCTTGCATATCAAGATGGCAGCCAGCAGCTAACATTGCAATTGCCGAACCTAACTTGAAAAGAAATTACACTGAAAAACGTCCTTCTTCCTTTCGTGGCAGAACTGATCTAAGATACATGGCTACAGGTCTGACCTTGAAGGGCTTTTCTTACATGCACATGCCCTACTCATATTCAGGGTCACAAAACGTCATATGAGAAAGGACATTTGGGTTCCTTTTGGGGTATTTTTGTATTTTCCACAAGTAAGAACAATCTTTGATTTGAAAAATGTAATACTCCTGTGCCTATAGAAAATAAAAAGCTTCTTCATGCAAAGTAGCTGAGCACAGTTTAGCTTGTCGATGCAGAATTCCCCCTTGTTAGGGCATTTCTGGAGGACTGCGCCAGGGGAGAGGCGGCACAAGTCCCACGAGCCCGGAGACCAGCGCTGCTCTGTGCTACCAGAGACTCCTGTGCCTGAGAAAATAGGACACAGAGGGACAGTGCAAAATCACCTCCTCCATTCTTCCCTTTTTCCTCATTTTTATTTGCCTCTGGCTGCAGTATTGGGAGGAGGGAAATCACAAAATTTTAGTCCAAGTTCTTTTTTGCTGAAGCAAATCAGTCAGCTGAGCGGTTATCCCAGCGGACTGAGGATAATTGTCCCCTTTATTAGTGCAGAGGGGGCACTGAGATGAAGAGCTCCTGACCAGCCAGTCTCAGACCAAAGCCATCTCTTCCTGAGAGGGCAGAGTAAATCATAGAAGAAGCTATCATCTCACAAGGCTGCAGTACTCAGTCTCATTTCTGTACTAATTCCTGCCACAGTCTGGAGATAAGAGTATTAATTTTAGATACACAGCTCTAAACAAGATGAGACTCAGCTCTGTGCAACCCTTTGAATAACAGCAACAGACTTGGTGGGTATGTGACACCCTGGAGACTTGGGCCCTCCTGTTTACATCCCCCACCAAGTCCCACCTTTCACATCTGACCCAGACAAGTCCTTTAAGCTGTCCTTTGACAAGGGACAACAGCACCTCCCACTGAGAATAAATACATTCAAGCCCATTGACAGTGCAATGACACAATCCAGAAGGATACAATCAAGGGAGACACCTGCTCCTGGACGGATGGAGGAGCTGTCAGCTGCTGGACTGCAGTGGTTTTCACTGCTGACCCCAAGAACCCAGGGTAGCTCAAGGCACATAGGGAACTGGAAAAAATTCCTTACACCCTTGCTCTGCTCAGAGCTTCCTTCAGTTAAACAACAACATCAGTCTCTATTCCCAGTTACATCATGACTTCATTTTTTCCATCTGAAGTAGCTAACTGTTGCTTCAAGAAAAATGTCAAAAATTGCTTGTTTTCTGAATGAAAACTGAAAAGTCTTGGGCAGAGAAACAAAACCCTGCTAATACAAGGATGATGGTTTACTGGTATTTCACTAAAATAGCAACAGCTATTTGTGTGGAGTATGTCTATAACAAATATGTCGGTATAAAAATGCTGCCTTGCAAACACCATTCTCTTCAACGTTGCCTTTACAGCTTTGGAGGAACTGGCCGCTTTCACAGCCAAGTTTGCCACCGCTATGGAAAACAGGCTGCACATGCAAGCCAGCTGAAGTCATACAGACTGAAAAGGGCTAGAGCTGCTGCTGCTACCACTGTAAAAGTGTTATTTGGAAACCATCTTCTGAGAAAGCTGTATAAGGAATCAAAAATCCACGGTAGGGATGCAGGCTTGATGCTTTTCCATTTTTTAGCAATGACTAATACAAAAAAGCTCTTATCTCAAAATAAAACATTTCTGCCCCTTACAAAGGCATATAAGCAGGCAGGACAGACTGGCCTTATATAGCTGGCCTAGAAACGTCCTCTTCACCACTGTATCTGAAGACCTTCTTGCATTGTACTCTTGTAACCTCAACCAATGTGGATGAGAACCATGCCAAAGCCTTTCTCTTCCTCAGCTGGAAGGCAGAGGGATGTCCCTCTTGATTTCATCAGAAGAGTTGTGCAAAAATAGCGCAGAGACAAGGCCAAAATCAAAAAAGAAAATTAAAACACTAACACTCAATAAGCCAGGCCAGAAATAATTTTATAATTACTCTAACAGAGTTAAGTGACATGCAAGAAATACAAACGTCTCCGTGTCTAAGGGAACGTAGAAGCATGTTTTAGAAGCAGAACAATTCAAGCCATTTCTTCTGCTGATTTCTCCCTTATGTACAGCTGTTTGCTGTCTAACGAGGGTTGAGTTTGTAACTGCAGTTTTCTTCTAGGGTCTTCCTGTGATATCCAGCTGCCTATTTGCATAAGATTTGAAGGAATCCAATAATCCAAGAATTATAGAATGATTTCTGTTATCAAACAACAATTAACAAAAGTAGCAAGGAATATTTCTATTTCCTTAAGATGCTTCACAGTGTGAACTGCTTCAGATAAAAGGACACAGTCAGCTCAATTAAGTTTTTGCATCTTGTTCCTCAAAAGAAATACCATTTTATAATAGCACAACTTAAGTTTCACCTTAACTAACAAAATATACCTGGCAATGCTTATGCCAAATCTTAAGAAACATTCTCCGATGTCCTTTTCTAAATCCTTTTTGCTAAATGTTTTATCTGCACTGCACCACACTTCATACTTCATGACAAGAGACCTTGTGAAAATGTTAACTACTACAGGCAAACAAGACCTAGATTGCAGCAGTTTTCCTTACAGCTTTTTCCCACGTGAATTTTCTCTACAAGGTAAAAGTAGATTATGGCAGCACCAGACCTGCATTGTTTCTCCACTCCAGTTGAATACAATGGTATTTCATTGTGTCGTAATATAATACCAGATCAGCTTCATATGGTTTTCTTAATCCAAAAGCAGTGTTCAAGTAGGGCTGCCCTCAGATTTAGACAAATCTGAAGAACTTTAAATACAGCAGAAAGCTTGTAGCCAAAGATCTCATCACATATAGGTTTTTTTTTTTTTTTTTGGTATGCCCCTACAAAGTCCAGTGAGAAAAACCGCAAGATACAGGCAAAAAAAGGCTCTAGCTGAAGTCTTGATATTCTGATCTACAACCTTAGGTGTGACAATGAGAGGTAGAAAGCACATATGAACATCTCTATACTTTGTAGATCCCTATCAGAAACGCTGACACGGAAGTTCAGGAAAATAATAAGAAATTCTACGTAAATCTACTGGCAGCATTAGCATCTGTTCGATACTTCACACTTCTTTCCACAAACGCAAAATTGCTTACCTTTAAGAAAATGAACCTTCTCAAAATCTTGAAAATTAAGTAACCCCAATATAAATGCAAGCCTTGAAGGATCAATAGCTGCCCATTGAATAAAAAATATGCTATGACAGGAGTCGTGGAGTAGTATGTAGGCTGATACAATGTGGCACGAAGAATCCTGAAAAATAAAGGTCACTGTTATGGTGCAAGAATCCTTCTCTATGCTTAATTTCACATTCCAAACAAATTAACTACTTCCACAAAATATTAAAAAGCTCTGCAAAGATGACAGATTAATGAACAAGTCCTGTCTTAACTAGATTATGCACCTCTATTGAAATATACACTTCAGAAGATCAGAAATTTGAGTCTTGCATGAAAGTATTCTAAATAAGGTTAGAAAAAAATCCCATTTTTTTAAAATCTCGAGCTCTGTGTGGTCTAGATACTATGCAACTCAGAGCTTGTCTATGCTTTTTTTTTTTTTAAATGCAAATTCTTTCTAATCTGAAATCCACACTCCAGAGAAAATCCTACATGCTTTGCAACAGAGTTTTTTGTTAATTAACATATGTTTTGTCCATCATCAGACTTCACTACTATTTTATTTGGGGCTTTTTGAATCCCTTTAATCTCATCATGTTTTGCTTCCAAGCTCAAGAACTTAAGAACAAGAAACTCAGTGAAGCAAAATGATTGGAGATCACTTGTATAGTTAATCAAAAAATAACAAGAAAGCAAAAGACATCAGCGTATCTGAAAGAAAATACTACAGGAAATTAAAACCTTGTGTTGATCAATGTTCAGAACTATTAATTTAACCAGCTTGAGTCTCTAAGGGCTTGTCCATGTGCAGGGAGGGGCATGAAGGCAAAACTAGAGCAAGTCAACGAGACCGTGAATGTGAAACACATTAAATACTTTTAAAAAGCTAAACATGTCAAGCATTAAGCCCACTAAGCACCCATATGGATCCCCCAAAGCAGATTAAATCATAGCACTCCAAAGTCATGCGAGTATTTAGCAAGTTATGATTTATTTGCATTGACTTCATAAGTTGGTTCACCTGAACTTTTCTGAATGCTCCTCACGTGAGTGAGGTGAGGTACTACTCACGAACTAGGTAGCAAAAAGAAGGCTCTACAAAAAATTAACTACAATCATATAAGAACTGTACTGTACTCTGACTTTGCAGCTACAGCAGAAGGGCTGGAATGAAAGGGGAAATGACTTCTAGTTAAGTAGCTCGATCTCCTCAAAAATGCAGAAGCTCATAGCATTTAACTACAATTTATGAAATTAAGTTAAATAATACATAAAAGCCTTTATTTAGGTGTCATGGTTTAACCCCAGTTGGCAACTAAGCACCACACAGCCCAAACCAGCACATTAAGTTAGCATATTTTCATGAGGCTCATTTAAAAACTATTTTTCCTTAATTTTTTTAAGAAAATGACAGTTTTTGTCAAGTCTTGTTGCTGGCCTTAGTACCCAACAATAGCAAAAGTTCTGCTTCTGCTCTTTTCCTTTTCCTTTCCTTTTCCTATCACAACCAATATGAACCTCTCAATGGAAATGAGAACGAAATAAAAGCCTGTGACTATATTGAATATTGCTTACCAGAAGGGGAACAGGATGATTCTTGTGATGAAAAATGCAATAGAAAAGATGATAAAGAGCATATTGCAGGTTTTCTCCCAGCGAGCATAATTAAACATTTTGGCAGCCTGCATTGAATAAAAAACATCAAACACATTACAAATATTGTCTGAAATAAGTCCCTTTCTGCATTTTCATAAACAAGGACTCATCTTCCACCTAAGCAGGAAGAAAATTTCCTCACTGTTTGACATGTAAGGCAATCATTTTACTGATGGCTAATAAAGCAGTATCAAAACAGATTCTTTGTTTATATTTCTCCTTTCATCTTAAAGGAAAGGGCTCTGTATCGAAGGCCTAAAGAACAGCTCTCCAATCAGAATATAAAAGTGTCACGAGAACACAAAGTGCTCTTGAAAACAGAGGTAATACCTCATTCCTGTACCAGACTCAAAACAGGCTGAATCAAAGAGGCCATATTTACAAGCTCAAGAATGGCAGTGACCCCTTATACCCAGGCATTCAGGTGCATTCATGTTACTGACCCTTCTCTGTGCCTAATTCAGCGTTGGTCTCTATCCTACTAATAAAGATTATAATTACTGCTTCTCCCCTAGCTGAACTGTACAACTCTCCATGCTTCATTTAGGAATCACCCTGGGTACTGTTGAATGAAACAGCTGTTCAAGAGTGAGCAAAGCTTCAGGTGCCAAGCCTGGGTTTCAAATAGCAGTTCGATGTACTTTTTTATTTTGAGTGGCAGGGCTGAATTCATTTATTCTGGTACCCAACTTCAGTTTCCATCTGAGTGCTGTCCTACTGGTTGTCAACTATTTGTAAGGCCACACAGTTAGTAGGACCACAAAGCAGTTCAGGGTTAAAAGTAGCCCAGCAAAAACCTAAACATATGTGTTTAATCTGAACCAATCCCAACTGCATGACCCCACAACTAGTTGTTCTAACACAACTGATGAAGTATCAGGAGCAGAAACGAACAGTGACAGACAGCAGCCTACAAGGACTGCTTACACTGGCATTGTCACCAGAAGAGGTGACGAAACTATGCTCTCAATCTTGGTGTTACAAACTCAGGATAACTCTACTGAAGGAAACACAGTGTGCATTCATCTACGAGAAACCCAGCAGCAAGTCTCTATGACCACAGTGCTGTGGACACTTCTTAAACATTTCTAAACATTGATATTTAGTTCAGGGAGGGGACTTCCCCTTCAGCCCAGGGGAAGAAACTTTTCTTCTGCGAGTAGATACAGCTGATACCTTGTTCACGGACAGCTTGAGTGCCTCCAGCCGGAACTGTATAATGTACGTGCACCCCTTGGGTCAACACAGTGGTGTGAAAGCTGTACTTTGGCTACTTTGGAGAAGTAGCCAAAATTTTGGCTGCTAAATTTGCTTGAGAATTGGTATCACGACAAGCCTTTCACAGGCTAGCCAACTTGGTCTAATTTTAACAGTGAAACAAGAATAATCCAGGGAGGCAGCTGTATTTCCAGTCCCCATTCTGTACTGAAGAACTTCTCTTCTGCTCTTTCCTCATAATGGATTCTGTAACATACTATCGAATTAAGTTAGCTAGAAGCTCTTTTTTATCTTACAGTTTATGAATCTGCGAAGCCATGTCTCTATGGGGATAGGAAGGGATTGTATAAAACTTGTGGCAAAAAGATTAAAAAGTCAATAAACATAACCTGGACACCAACCAAAAAAAAAACCCCAAAACAAACACCAACAAAAAAACACAAACAAAAGGTGGAAGGCAGGGTTACCTCAAGCCAGAAATCTGCAGTATCGTGCACAAACATCACCAATGTTCCAAGACGCACGTAATTGCCACACCAAGAGCCGCTCATCAACCCAATGGCTGCCAAGTGATGAACAACATGAGCCAGAAAATCCTGTGAAAGAGAAAAGAAAAAAAAGGTAAAGCCAAGCAAGTACAGCCCTTGAGGGTCTGTCTCCGTGCAGATGAAGTGACGAGCAAGACTTGTCATGCACAGAGAGATGCCCTGGCAGTAATGGATGTGTGCAGGTGTGCCAGGGATAGACTGATGCTGCCCTCATGTGGCTGCACCACATCCAGTACCAGGACTGTGCTTTTCCTTATATTTTCCTTATAAACGTTTCCCCCTCCCCTCATAAAAACAGAGGTTCTCGCTACAAATAAGCATGACCACTTGCCTTCCTTTTGTTGTCAATCCCAAGCGTAAATAAGAGAGACCAGTAAAAACTAATCTCAGCCATGTAGTACCAATATTGGGATGGCAGCAGAGTCTGTAGTGAAGAAAAATACAGTTAACTCTGAGAATAGCAAAAAGTGAACGCCAAGTGAAATTACTTCTTTTTTCCTTTCCTCATTTCTTTTCCTCCTCTGCTGAGTCTTGCTTAAAAAATTAAACTAAACTAAATCCCTGTTCTGGGCTTCATTAAGAAGGATGTTCTGGGAGCCAAATATTTTAACCTTTACTCAGACCAAATTCTCAGTTTCTGCAGTTCCTCCCCCACCTCTGAATTTTAGCATGCTTTTTTTTTCTACATTTTTGTCAGAGAACTACACGCAGAGTGCTTCTGCATTTAATTACAAACAACTGCAAATAAATGAAGCCCTCCATTTTGGTGAACAATTAACATTTTAAACATTCACACAGCCCATGACTAAAACGTCAGCTATTTATGCTAAAATCTGATGCATCTGCTTAGGGCTAGATGCTGAGCTTGGCTGCTCCCTTGGTTCAATAGGTTTCCCAGGCAGCAGGAAGCAGGCTTCGTTATCAGGTCCCACAAGTAAGAGAAGCTGGGAAAACTCAGTTGGGAGGCAGAATTATTTTTATTTTTGACCTCTGAGTAGGACAGGAATAAGAGGGCAGTGTGATGGGTCATAGATTTATAAAAATAGCAGGGGGGGCACATAAGGACCTCTGGCAGGTGGGCAAGAAGGCAGTTTGCTTGGAGTGATCTGTTATGGGACTGTTAGTAAAATATTTTAGGAAGAAGCGAGAGCCTCGTAACCCTTGGTAACAACCAGAGTACTGAACAGAGATCCCCAGAGCAGGGACTCACATTACGCCAAACCAAATCACTGCAGCACTCCCGAGTAATAAAGCTCAGCAGACACACAGCTCTTGGCATAATCCTCTGCGTAACGCTATCCTGCAGTGCCTTGAAGAATCGTAAGGACTGGTGCAAGCTTAGGAATTCTGCACTGAAACCCGTAACACAGATAGATAGCATCTACTGCGCACCACTGGTAACCTGAGCTGGGTGGAAATAATAGTGGTCTGGCTGGAGGGCTGAGCTGCAGGCCCAGGCAGAACCCGGAGAAGTCCTGCAACAGTCAGCAGGAGGTACCAAAGAAGGGCAAAAGGCTTTGGTGCCACACCCCTCAGGTGTCAGGCGGTGCCCCTTGGGAGGGAGAAGCACTCCTGTGGATTACCCCTTCCAATGGGGAAATACTTGGAATGCCTTGAGGCCAACGGCCCAATGCCAAAAAGCTCACCTGAAATGGATAGCCAACCCACGTCTGCCATATGTCGTAAAACCAAGGTTTCTGGGGAAGACAGATGATTCAGAGACTGATCAGCTGAGCAATGGTAAGTCATCTTAACTCAAAATCTTCAATACTTAAAATTTCACTAAGTGGAGAAGGCTAAGAAGCAATAGGCTTGATAGCTCTTCTCCACCAATTTCTAAGGGGATCCTACATCTCAGATTTATTATATTGGTCCCAGCTTTTTGGCTTCTTTTCAGGACACCTGAAACGTTCCAGTTCATCATTTCATCATCCAAAGCAGTGGGTGTGTGTTTTATTACTGCAATTACTCAAGATATGTTGCCACAGTGATTAGATTTTGCTGTGTTTACCAGCCACACACACTACTGGTTCATGATGATAAACAGTGTTTGGGGAGAAGAGTCAGAGGAACACAGACACGCTGAGAACTGTTCTGCTGCTCAGGAGAAGCATTAATGACACCCCAGGCAGTGCTCACATAGTTACAGGCAGCACTCTCTCTGTTATTCCCAACTTCTGACTCAGCAGCAACATCTCAATAAACAGACATGAAATACACCATTGTTGTGGCCCTCAAAAGTCCTGCCAGAAACGTTTATGGCCATGTGATGCATTTGTAGGTGTTAACAAGGCATGTTTTAACACTATCTGTGTGACTTTTAAAAACTTTCCTTAGAAATACTGATTACTCATAAATTATCACAGAAGTTCAAAAGAGAATTTAAAAATTGAGTAAAACCTGTCATCTAGATTACAAACATAGATTTAAACCCAAAGAGCCACTGAAGCCAGTGAGTCTTCCAATGGGCTTCAAAAAGATCTAGAAATCAGTCTTTATTTTGTTAAAAAAAAAAGAGTATCAATCCTTCAAAAAAAATTAACTTACATCATACAGAAATATAAATCCAGCAATAGAGGATGTAAGATAGAATGAAAATCGCCAGCTGCAAAATTAAAATGAAAAAGTAAGAACAAAGCATTATATTTTTTTATGGATATCATCCTAAGCCAGAATTACTGCAAATCATTGTATATCACAGACAATCTTCACATAAACGTGCTCTCATGCTCTACATTAACGGTTGTCACATATTAACTGTATCTGAATTATTAATATTTAAATACTTAAGCTTTGACTAATTGCTAAAGTAGTAAATTATTTTACATTATCACAATACAAATATCTTGACTGTGATTACAGCAGTAATTTTCCAGCCAGTCACGAGCTGATCAAGAGAACAGGCAGAGCAAATATAACAAATTCCCTAAAAATTAATATTTGATAACGCCACCCCTTCCTGCTGTATCAATCCCTCCAGACTATTCACACTAGACTAAGAACATCTCACAGTTCCCTGACTCCAGAAGGTCTTTCAGCCACATGGCACATACTTTCCAATCTGCTCAAACACTGTGAATGCTGTGAGCACCAACAGGGACTTGTTTCAATTTCTGGGTTAATTTCTTTTCATCTCTCTTAATACCGATTGTTGAAAACAGGGAAGCCCTATGAAACTTTAACAACAACTACTGGATTAGTTTATGTCTTACTACAGAGGTCTGAATTAACTCTAAACCTCAATCTTTGACTAGGTGTGCCAGCATTTAGCCTGTTTAAGCTTTTTGTGGCTTAAATGGATATCCATCAAGGCAGATAAAACTTTCAGGTTTTCACTACCGATCTAGTAAGTCAGCAAAGGGAAGAAAGTTCTTGTGTATCTCAGTGAACCGAAACTATGTTGTTGCTTATATATGTCAGAGCAGGATGCTGTGATTTGGAACTAGCAATCAGCGTTGTAATGACTCTGGAGCCTGCGTGGGAGGTATTGTCCCTGGGACTGGGTGCGGCTGGAGACTCAGCCAGAGCGTTCCCACTCCCACCTCTACAGGTGATGGAAAGCTTCTTCCTTTCCACTCTTCTCCTTGGCAGGAACAAGCCTGACCTTTCCCAGAGCAGCTCTTCAAGATCTTCAAGCTCTTCTTTAGCTCTTCAAGCAGGAAAACACTGCCAGGACTTCACGTGCTAAGAAAGGTCGTGATCACAGACAGACACATAGCCCCAAACCCAGTGAAAACATTTTATAGAACAAGAGGTATCCCAGAGGACAGCAGCAAACAGCCTCCCAGAAAACCTAAATTTGCTAAAAAGGAGGAGAGCGGTCCTCAGAAAGAACACTGTACTAATGAATTAAGATATGTATAAAAATAAGATTGTGGTCTTTGGCAAACATTAGTGAAGTACCGTATGACAGAAGATGATGAGAACCTGTCCAGTCAAAGCAGCCCCTCCTTTCTGAGCCCTACATTACCTGAAGGCTGATATCCTGGATGAAAGAATGAGATGTTCAAAGACTGAGCCAGCATTTTACAAGAAAAACAAACAAACAAAAGATGAGGACATGGAATGGCAGAGGCTAGACAAGCTAATGTGTCTCACACCTGTGGAAGTGGTCAAGAAAACAATTATAAAAATGCCACTTGATACACTGGTAATAAACAACTGTTTCACTTTTCAACTTTGAAGCATCTTTCCTCAGATGATTTGAAAATAATACTTCAGAACACCCACTGCGCAGACAGAAAAATTCAAAGGTACAAGGTGGAAATCAGGAGAGCAAATGGAAGGTGAGAGTGGAACCCACAAGTGATACCTGGTGCAGAGTTGACCAAGAGATGCTAGGAAAAACAACACCGTGACGTGGGACAGACATTGCACAGGGGCTGATTCTGCCCTCATGCCTCCTATTTCAAGGAAAGGAGGTGTGAGTAGTCCAGTGGATATAGCAGGACTGATTCTGTGTTGATTGTAAAGTGTAAATAGTTTTCTGAATCAGATCCAAAGCACAGAGCACCTAACAAGACTGTGTCATTAATCCCCAGCCCTACATATACATATTGAACGCACTTGGCAATAAACACTCAGTACTTCAGATAAACTCAGACATGCAAGACTGCCAGAGCACTACCTCATTTTGCATTCAGCCAAACTTCTTTGTGAATTTGGTGAACAAAATCTAAAGTAAAACCCATCCAAATTCACCAAATTTTACCCAACAAGTGCCTTTTAAGCTCCAAAGCTGGCAACCAGAGAGAGCACTGAACAACAGCTATGCAAAAGGATTTTCTGATTTAACTTCAGGAATCTTTTCTCTTGAACTGAGTCTAACAAAAAAGAATTTAGTAGGTGAAGTTAAAGGCTGCTAAGTCTTTTATGGCATGGAAGGTTTCATGCAAAGGGCTTTCCAAACGCCAGTGTTGCTTAACCAGGAGCACTAATAGCTTAAGTATGGTTTAGATCCGGCTCATCGGATTTTCCTTGTGATTCAGAAAAATGATCCTGGAGATTGCAGGCTTTCAAAAATTTCATAACGCTCATAACACTGACTACTAACGTGGAATAACTCTGTTCCTCATTTGTTGCTTTGAGAATTACATCCAATTAAATTCACTGACAAAGAGCAGAGCAAGGTTCACAAAATTGCACAAGAGAAACCTGTTTGCTTCATTCTCACTCAAGCTGCCAAGCAAGTTTTAATTTCAGTCTTTGGCTGTGCATTACTAGAGATGTGGATCCGTGGCAGGTAGGTCTTTTATCAATAACAAAGGAAATTTTATTGTCACTTGTGAAACAAAATTAACTGATCCACAAAACAACAGCAAAAATAAACCATGCATGTCTGGTTGCCAGGACAGTTTACTCAACTCAGGCTTCAGAGCAACACATTTAAATGAGCTGGATTTATGCCCAGCAGAGGACATCATCAAATCATTATCATACTGGTTCACACTGAAAATAATCTTGATAAAGTACTCAACTTTGAGCTTTGTAGCTGTACTTTTAGTGTAGATTAGCTTAAGGAATGAAGGTTAAAAAAACTTAAATATTATAATCGTGAATTTTTGCCAATGTAATTACACTAATCAAAAAATCCAAATACAGAGGACATCAGGAAAGTGTTTTACACTGGTGCAGTTAATTTCAGTATCCAAAAGGGGCAAGCTATGTAAGTAAAGCCATGCCCATTTGGGGATTTGCAATTTGTATGAGATTTTGGATAACACTAGAATAGTCAAATAGTAAAATGTTTAGGTATTTAGAAGTTCTTACACACTCATGAAAAATCAGACTTTTAAATGCTTTTCCAGTTTTCAAACATACGCAGGTGGTTTTGAAACTTTATACATATTTATTATTATCACTCAAAATTGTTCAGTGGTCCACTCTCATCAGTGTATTTGAGCCCATGTTTTACACGTTCAAGCTATGACACCTATCATTTAGTTAGGATGCCATGATTCCTGCTCTTGAACTGACTTCTGGACACAAAATAGCATCCCAAAATGACAGCATGGGTACGTACATAGACGAGATCGAGTAAGCATTTTTGTTCTCTTATGATTACTGGCAGACAGAAAAATATTTCCCTATTCTCTGCATGTTTTCATTAAGCACTATGTAGCAGGAGCCTACAAATAAGTCATTACACAACAAAGAAAACTGTAAAATATTTTTGAGGGTTTTTTCCCCAGGAGAAACTGTTAACCTAATCTTTTAAAGTCACACCACTTGGAGAAATGCTACTAGATCCTTTCAATTTTTTGTGTATGCACAACCCAAAACCCTTGTCAGACAGACTCAGCTTTCCGGAAATAAGTCACCCTTGAAAAGGTACCTGAAGACCTCAATCTTTTTTTTTTTTTCAAAACAGTAAAATCAATAATAATCAAAAGCACTGTCTTTTCTTACAAAGCTTCCTGGAATTTCCGAAGCACTGTTGGGATCTCAAGGTTTCGCCGTCTCCTAAACCACTTTTCCACCAAACGGACTGTACAGTTGCACTTTTTGGCAAGGCCTTGAATCTCTGACTGCAAAAAAACAGAATAGCATTAGCAACAAGATGTACTCCAATGTCATTTTCATTTATTTTGTAGTTCACAGATCAGCTTCCCACTGTTGTAAGTTCTTCATTTAAAAACATGACTAACATAACTATCTATGGGGGTTTACCTTGCAGGCTTCCTGGTTTAATTTTTGAGTGACACTAACAGAAACCCTGGATTTTTGAGGCACTAACTTATATAAATAAAGCAAGCATGAAATGTACAGATCCACAATCTGTGCTATTTCCTTTCTGGTGGCTTCTGCTATGTTTTAAAGATGTAACTTCTACTGCTAAGCAAGAGGTTGGACTGGAGGGGGAAGTGCCATGTATCAACACACACGGTCATTGTATTTAATATCTTACCTAATTATAATTAATTATTAGATTATACTTAAATGAGTCTCGCAGGTGAGACACAGCCCTGGAATTAAGGCGACCCGAGTTCTGTTCTCAAATCCAAAGTCCTTCTGTGGTACAGGGCAAGTGAGTTAATCTTGCTGAGCAAAATCCAGACTGCCTTTCAATACCTAAAAATAAATTAGGGCTAGACCACTGCCTAGAAATGCATCCAGACATTCAAATGCAACAGTCAGGTGTCTGTGTCCTTTGAAGGTGAAGCTGCTCTGCCATGCAGCCATGCTAGCCTGTGCTAAGCACAAGGCAGCGCGACTCCTGCATTTCTGGGTGCTCAGCGCCCCACGTGCAGCAGCCTGTAGGCTTCCTCCCTCTCCTTCATCCCCAAGTGCGGAAGGTGTGGGCTGACCTTCCCTGGGGCTGCTGTAGGAGCAGAGGGAGTGTTCAATTCATCCCTGGGGAAGTTCTTTCCCAGCAAGGCTAGTATGCAAATAGTGGGTGGCAGCAACGCTGCATCCACCAAGGTAAGTCCAGTTCAGTTAGTCTCCTACCCTCAGAGAAAGCTCTGGCATGTGAGCAAAGGCACCTCAGCTGCCAGGAAGTGTTTGCCAGGAGTGCAAACAGGCTCTGTGTTCAGCCCATCCTGCTGGCTAGAGAGCTGTCTACTAGCCACACAGGAATACCGACTTTGTGCTCACAGACGATAGAGCCTAGATGCCCTCAATCACCAGCCAGGCCTCTGCATGCTTTCTCAGGCACACTGGTCCCCAAGCTGGGCACTTAAAGGAGGCAGCCTGAATCTTTCCCATGTACTGACAAGTATAAAAATGCTGTGCTTTCTTTCAGAGATTAACTGTCAAACTGTACTCATGCAGAGGGAAGGTATGAAACAGATTGTGATACTTGCGCAGGTAGAGAAGAGCTCATATGCGTACACAAATACATCTATTCCTGATTGTATCAGGCAAAAGGACACAGTAAGAGAACAGCAGAGTTAGGGATAGAAAGCAAATTTCCACATATCAATAATTATCAATACCTCTCATTACTAGAAAGCATATATTTCTTTTCAAAAAACAGTGCAGGAACTGCAATTGTTTGGTTAAGTGAACTTTCTGAGGCTGCATTCATAGCAAAGTACCTGTTTCCCATCAACAATCAAGTTGCCTCATTTTTTGAGATGGTAAACATTAGCTTTTTTTTTTTCTTGTTCAATTTTAAAAACAAACAGCAAGGTAATAGAAAGATTGCTTTTCTTTTTCACATAAGCCAGGATTAAGTATGCAGCAATATAACGGATCAAAAGGCTTCCATGCCTGCGTTCCAATATTATTGCTTGCAATAAATATGATACCACTTTCCAACAACAGATGTCAGCTGATGTTTTCTCCAGCCAGAATGAGTTAAAGATGGAACACTGATCTTCACTGGAAACATTATTAACAGTCTAACCTAGAATAGCATGCCAGAAAATTAAACATCTTAAGCGTATTTTCTGTTTTGGATGCCATATACCCTTGTCAGCAGAACAGCAACAAGAACCCAAATAAATTAAGTCATCTGTCAATCAGCTGGTACTCATCCCATGATGTCATTGCTGATAGCTGATTGAAACAGTAAGACTTGGGATTTTCCAAAACCAAAACTAGTTTAAAAGAATGAGAATCCTTACTTGGGATGGATGTTTTGAGCACTCCCGGAAATAACTCTCTAAAACAGGATTAGGCTGTGGCTTCACACGTCTTACATTCTTTATACCTAAGGCTTTTGCTAGAGGTATAGCAACATATCTGAAAAGACATACCGTGAAAAACTTTAAAAATACAACACAGTTACAAGACTTTAGCTATTCTCATGCCAGGATATGAAGAAAATAAGTCTGAAGCAATTTAATCTGCCATAGGATATGACAGTGCACTGTGAGAGAAAGGAATCTCCCTAATCCCAAGAGAGAACCATAGCATATTAGCAGTTATGCAAAAAAGCAGACCCAAGGATTCAAGTTTGTGGTTGTGAAAGGAAAGATCCTGATTTGTCTGTCCTTGTGCTTTTCACTGGCATATTGGAGTTAAGCAACAGTTAAGAGAGAGTGAAACAAGAACAGATGCTTTCTCTGTGCGAGCTGAAAGATTGCTACCGGGCTACTTTCTCCTAGTGGCAAATAGCCACTTCGCACATTGCTTCACCAGGCTACCAGTGCCCAAGATACTGGATTTGGCTCGTGGCACACAGCAACTCCCCGAGAGACTGAAGGCTTCTCTTTCTCTTCCATTTTCCAATACAAATTGCTGCAGAGCATGCCAAATGCTTCACTCTTCTACTTGTAAAGGCTTTACTGAAAAAGCCCCCCTGACTCATGCTGATATCAGCAATTGATTCCTTATTACTCATAGCAGTGGTCAGTTTTCCTCATTCATGGGTAGATTCACCGCAGGCCAGATGTGTGGGCTAATTATTCACATGAGTTATTTCCAATAGCAGCACAGTGAATTGGGCAAGCATTTACTCAGGACACACTGTGAATGGTTATAAACATATGATCCAAATTACTTTTCATCTTTAACATGAATGATCTTATTTGGTTCTTTTTTAAGTCTATCCAACTTATGACATTCCAAATTTCCTCATTCTATCCTGAAATAATTATAAAAAAACCTACTAATCACATTCTTTGGAGGAAAAAAAAAGTCAAGCAGAAAAGGCACAAATAAGTAAGTCAAAGCTCTGCAAATCTTAATATATTTGTAGCTTTCCTCTGTGGAGCCAACCTCTGTTTTTCCTGCTGCAGAAGCAATCCATCTTTCAGTGCCAAAGTGAGAAAAAAAGGAATCAGCATTACTAGATCTGCATAAAACGTTCACATGAAACTTTGAGATCCCTCTGGTCTGCCTAGTTTTGCTGCAGCTAGACACCTGGGATCCATCAGCTTCACACTAATGTTCTGGTGGAGGACCAAATGAAAGGAGAGGTTTGGTTTGGAGGACAAATACCTCTACCCTTCCACCAAAGGAGGAAAAGCAAAAGGAAATCCAAATGGTTTTATATTAACTGTATCTCCAGCAAAAGGAGATAATTAGAATTATCCAAACGCTGTTCTAGAAAAGCTACATAGAAGTATTTTCCTTCTAGATTGGACTACAGCCACACATTCCTAACAGAAAAAATATTTCCCCATTTTTCACCTGCCATATTATCTGTACTAGATCTTTCTAGCAAACCACCAACTAATAATAATGTTATAAAAACATAAGAACATTGATCTAAAGATATCTTATTTTTCAAAAAATTTTAACATTAATGAGGATTAACATTAGCACAAAATTCCATTTGTGTTTCTTACCTTTCACTAAAGAATCGGATAATCAGTAATACAAAAGCATATGGTATTGTTGCATATAATTGATGTGGTTTTGGAAAGACAAGTCCATCACGGTCTACAAAATGTGCCCATGTGCAATTGATAGGCATCCAGATATTCTCCCACCAGAACCAGCTGTTGAGCGTCTTTAATATGTGTGCCATGCTAAGCAAATAAAGAGATAATTAAAAATTATTCTCGATGTATTAAACAGAAAATACGTGAAATAAAACATACTGAACCTTGCTGTATAGAACGGTGGTTCCCAGCTAGCAGGACATTTCCTAAAGATAAGGTACAAGCAAATAGTGTATGAGTCTTGGGTCCCACAAGAACAAACTGGAGAGGTAATCTGCTGTCTCATTTCAGTCATTCACACTAGACTGCTTAATAACTGCTCAAACCTTTTGCAACAATCATTTATAATCTATCACTCCAATACACAAAAGATACTAAAGAGAACTGATCTTCCCCAGGCTGCCTTTGTAAATTAAATGTAAGCGGGTAGAAGAACGGAAAAGAAGTGAGAAAGTCCAGGGGGTGACTCAGTTCTGTAATAATTAAGACATTTTGCTGTTGAATTACTGCTCCCTAGTATGCTAATGGAAATATACACCTTGATCCTGATTTTGCAAACATCTGTGCACAGGACCAAGTACAAAAATTACAGTGCACAGCAAACTTTTGGGGGGATTTGCAGGAAATGCTATGATTTAACTGTGACCAAACCCTAGATCGGAACAAAATGTCCAAAATCAGTTCTTGAAGGAAGGAGGGGAAAAAAAAAAAAGGAAAAAAAAAAATCACTTAAACCCACTTAAACTGAAACATTTCATTCTTGTAAAAATCTCATTTTTAACCTTTGCATTCTACCTTATGCATTTAGAAGTTTCTGCTATCCCTCATTTAGTTGTAAGAACTTTACAGTACAAACATGTTATATATCCTATGAAAATATTCTAAAATTGAATGAAAATAGAAGTTACTATAATGTTTTCTATAAGGCTGAAAATAAGTAATTTTTCTATAATTTCTAGGAGTCATAAATTTAAATAACTTTTTCCAGACTAAAATTTCCTATAAACCAGAAAAAAATATGAGGAAATAATTGATTTCACCGAACCATAGTTTTGATAGGGAAACGGTTGAGCTGGGAGAATTTCAACTAAGTCTCCTCGTAGCATTAGATGTCCCATCAGACTATCTCACAGCAATATATGTATATAGGATCAAGTGCTGAGATCAAATCAAGACAAGGACAGACAGTAGTTCAGGCTGTTTCATGTTCCTCCATATTCAAGCAGGGGCCACATGACTTTAGTTTTACTTGCAGCCAGACGGAGCTTCCCCCCGTGCTGGATTTGGACATCATGCTTAGTGCACGCACGTCGGCTTTCAAGATTCGAGCACGGCTGGCTTTGAAGCCCGCTTTAATTAAACAGCTAAACGAACAATCACTGCAACCCATACATAGGCTGTTTCCACTAAGCTGAGGCCTTGCTGCAGGTTTGGGAAACGGTGACTTGTATTCATCAAGCAGAGCCAGGTTAACAGACACTGTGAGTCAATTTACTGGCCAAGCACAGTAGTCAGTATTGAAATATTAATAACCTAGCCATTTAATCTTTTTAAATGCCAAAAGGGGACAGTAAAAACCCACTGAATGACTTGTGTGTGTGTATAAACAAATGCAAAAATAAAGGAGGGAGAAATCATGATTGTTCCTGCACTGAGATTTTATATGGCCAGTTTCAGCCTAGAGCACTTTTTTACTGCTGAATTACAAACTCCTGGAAGTAGGGATTTATAATAGGGCTGCTAACAGACCCTTAACTGCAGCTAGCAGGCGCCATGATAATGAAGCAGGGCTTTGAAACATGACATTTTAGGTCAGACAGAAAAGCTCGCAGACAAACTGCCCTAGAAGACCAGGGGAGAGACTCATTACACAGTTCTGCTTCCTAATATATCTATATTTTTAAACTAGACTGTGCACTGCAAACTATCACAAACTAACTGGAATGAAAATAGGCCATTCTATTATAACACAGCAGAAAGAGGACTAACAGTTGGATTATGGTGAGATGGGTTGTGACTGAATATGCACCCAGTACACTTAAACCCTAGAAAAACCCAACAGTGCCTATTTTCGTACTGGATTCTTGGAATGTCACTAATTCATGTTTTCCTTCCACACATGGATGCCTTACTGTACGACTACCTTTTCAGGTCCTGAAGTGGTTAATACATCTCTATTCAACGAAGCTCACAAGCACATGCTTAATCTTTCAGGAAATTCTGGGATTTGGGGTCTGATCCAGAGTCCACAGATTTCAGTAGAAATCTTTCCCACAGACACCAGACTCACTCATTGAAAGGTGGGTTCTCTGATATTTCTTCCATAAGCCCCTGTATTTGTACCAGGTCTTGCCTTGCACACAGGGGATTAGACCATCTCTGATGAACATTGTCCAAATAATTAGAATACTGTTGATGAGATTCCACAGGTCTGCAGCCTATTCTTGTTTTATTACCCATAAATTGGATGTACACCCAACATCCAACCTATATTCTCACTGCAGCAAATCAGGCCATCCACTGGGCAATCTTGGAGATGTCCATCTTCGTAATAGCAGCTGTTTAAGTAGTTGGGCTGTTTTCCTGTCTCCCTTCAGCTTCAATTTTCATCATGAGGTTCCTGGAGCACCTAGAAGGTGAGGAAGTCCTTCCAAACACACTTAGGCAGCAGTGACCTGAGTATTTTACAGTTTCTCTTTCTGCCCTCTTTGCTCTTAAATGGCTGACAGCTGTGGCAGTAGTATTTTTATCCCTCCTTAAATCATGGAGATCCTGAAACACAGAGGAACTCCATAAATATTACTTTGTCACATACATCATATACAAGAAGGTTCTCTTCTCCTGTACTACAAGCTGTGGCCCCTTCAACTTGCTGAGAAGTATCTCATGAAACCCACACATCCTCTGTTATGTTTTTCTGTATGAAACAGAAGCTGATACCTGACAGGAGTCTCCCATCTCAGGAATCACCAAAGCAAAGCAGGAATAACTCAGTGCTAGCTGTATTTATCATCTTCTCCGCAAACACACGCTTGCTACTTCCTAGAAACCTTGACTAAAATTAGTACTGGAACTCAATTACATTTTTAAAGATGAAGCCATTTATTATACCTCCACCAAAAAGGTTCTTTCAATGCTCCCACAGCATCACCGATACAAACAATCCAGCTCTATGGTTTACTCACCGCATCTACAGCAACCACTGTCCCAAATGCTAATCCTCATTATCAGCTTTCTCCGCATTATGACTTGATCACTTCATTCTAAATTAATTACTTTGAATCCTGTTAACCCTAAACAATAGCTGTATAAATCATGAAAGAAGAGGCCAGAGGATGGAGAAAAGGAGACAGATAGAAAACACGCAGGTAATTCATCTCTGGCAAGCTTTGTCTGTTAGAAAAACCATCTCTCCTCCTTCCAGTTACCAGCTGCCTGGCACAACTGTGGCAGAGTGACTTCTCAGAACCCATAATCCCACATCTGTGTCAATTCACCCGGCAGAGATTGAATGGCGAGAGCAACCAAACTCTGCTTTCAGACCACATCAGGTCAAAGGCACATTGCCATTGCATAGGAGAGAAAATTTGCCTGTTACTGTTTGCATGCTACTTTTTCTGCAAAAAAAACATTTTGCCCCCACAAGGTCTGTAGCTCTGGCATATTACATCTAGACCAACCTCAAACACTTACATGTATTTTAAATAATGTTGTCTATACTGTTTAGTCTTGGTTTTAATCCAAAGATTTCTGGCAGCTTGTTGAATCCTAAGAGGTTAGGAAGACCAGCAACCCTTTGGCCATACAATCCTACACTGAGAACACCTCTTCTAAGTGCCCATACTGTGAGTGGAAAAGGGAAGGCATCACCACAGCTCTTCTTGTGGAAGGGACTAATAAATACATAGACATCTTTCAGCTGTCCCTTCTGCCACACAGGGGCTGTGAGGAGTGATGGTGAGGTAGACAGGCATTTCCTCATATAGTGCCCGAAATCTGGGTGAGAAATGGGAGAACCGATGTATTATCACTTGGCTGAGCGGAGTGTGTTTTGCAACAGGCTCATTTTATGCTGCCGAGAAATCTTCACCTCCGAGAAGCGCTATGACTGCAGTTCTTGAGACCCAGGTTCTTTTCCCTAGTACATCAGCGTAAATCTAGAGGACACTTACTTTTGTCAGGAGCTCGTTACCACACAAAGACATGTTCCAGTCTAACCACAAGTGGTGGCAACCAGTTCCAGTGCTGAGATGATGCTGTAGATGCTGGATTTCAAAGGCAGCTGTTCTTTTTAGTTTGCAGAAACTGTCACAAGTTGTTATTTTCCCCTTGCACACACTACTTCCAAAGAACAGGCAGCGGATACAAAGGCTCAGCTTGTCCTGATTTGGGATCAGCTCTAACAAGAAACTTGAAAGCCTACCCAGTCTGAACCTCCTATTCCTCAGAGTGCTGAGCTCAGAACATTTTTTTTTCTCCCCTTACTGCTCACAACAGCACCAAACAAGATGTGTTGACTGAGAAACGATAACAGCCAAGTGATCCATATTCTGCCCAACCTATGGTGAAAAAACCCTACTTCTTCCCAAATTCCTATCCATACACCAGAACCACCAATATCATTTTCATTGGTAAAACTAGAATCCTTGCCCTTGCTCTAGAAGGACCTAAAAGTCAGTCTAACGATAAAATAAAGATATTTTTAGAAAACTAGCAATTTCCCCTGCATCATGGAAATTAAATACACCAAATAAATCTAATCACCTCCTTGCTAAGGAAGGATCTCCTCTGTAGCCTAATCTAGTTTTAAATGGCCTAGTGCAAAACAGGAAAATCAGGAAAGATTACTTCAGAAACTGCATCCTTTATAATTAAAGGAAAGCCTACTCAGTAGGGAAGTACCAATGTGAAGTTTCTTTCAAAGCTCTGTTCCGTGGATCCTTGCTATATTCAATTAAAAAAAAAAAATCTCGTATTTTTAATGCCATTAAGCAAAAAAGGCAAATTTTGGTTTCACAAAAGCTACACGGCTACATTTTGAAAAACAAATTCAGGAACTGCTTTGAAGTGGAATTTCTGGCTCCTGCAGTCTGGGGAATGAATAAAAAGAAACAGAACCAAAGCTTTATGTTCTCCGCACAAAAGTTCTTGCTTGCAAAAACCTGCATTTCTAAAATCAGAACTAAGAGAAGGCGATATCCAGGTTTGAAGGACGTGTTAGGATTTCCTATACTTATTTACTGAATAAATTAGAAAACCCAATGGATCACTAACACAAACATAGACGTGAAAGAAGTCTTAATTTCTCTAATCATTTTATTAGACTGTCTACTCAGTGTGACTCCAGAGGTGTAACAGGGAAAAAATGAAATGGGTGAAAAGAATAATGTAATTCTCCTATTTCTCTCCTCATTTGGTAGAACTGGTAAAGCTGGTGCAGTGACTGTTGGGAAGAATCAAGTCTCCGAGATATCAAAAGAGATAGCAAGGCTGTTCCAGGCTGTTAATCACCAACATTAGACCAAAGCGGTTTAAAAGAGTAAAGATCAGATCCACCATATCACAGGTTTCGGTTTTGCTTAAGACTAAACAATACATGCAACACACAAGTTTCAGCAACAGATTTGTGTTCTGCTAAAAAGAGATAGCACTTTGTAGAATCCCAACTGCGATCACCACCATGAAATGGGTGAAAAAATATAGGATCTACACTTTGTTGCTAACAGTTATGCAACCTCTTCCCTACTGAGGATAGCAAAAGCACTACTTAAGATACACCTTAAAAAAAAAATCCTAATACTACAGAAAAGTGAGTTTTAATAAAATCCAAAAAAACCCATATGTACAAACCCTAGCTTGTTAATGGTTTAGTATTCATCCAAGCGTTGACAGCTGATATTGTGCCATACAGTCTTTCAAATGTACAAAAGATGTGTAAAGCAGCTGTTGGACGCACTTGCAACTTGCAAGTTTGAGAAATCACAGGATGTGACACCAGATTAGTTTCTCCACTGATCATTTTTATGCTAAAAAGTTATTAGTCCCAAAGGCAGTAAAAGCAACCCGGACCTCCACTGTTTTCTTCCACACAAAACCATTCATTCAGGCATCAGTTGTTAGTTGTAGGTATTTGCCAGTTGGAGACAGACGTGGCTTGCTCCTGCTTCTTGGCACTGCTTTTTGCATTTGATCAAGCAGTGTTTTGTGCCTAATTGGCATAAAGAGTTTGAACTACGGTTTGTGGAGGAAATAACTGAATGAAGGATATTGGATTGATGCTACCATCTCTTTCCATCTTGTCTGTCCAAATGTGACAACAGGAGTCCAGTTAAATTCCACACAACCCAAGCCACAGCGTGAATGCCATCTTACCAAGCCTACATGTACAACCAGTGGCAGCACAGAAGAAAAGAGCTGTTGGACTTAAGAGGTTCCTGTGATGAAACACTGAAATACTGCATACATATAAAACAGCTGAATTAAGATTGCTATGAGACTTTTAACTTCAAATTTACTCCCTAGCTTGTACAAATCTCAACTGTAAACTTTTAAAGTGCCTAGTTATAGGGCAATTAGAATATTTTACTTTTTACGGTTCCTTGTAACTTGGTTACTATATTGTAGCAGGCTAAAATGGCACTTTAAATAAATCTCAATTAAGGTGGCAAGTGAGTTTCATATTTTTCCCTGTTCTCTAGGGGGAAAAAATAGAACCAGACCTGATTGAAATAATTCATTTTCCAGGTGAAGGTTACCATGCTCTCTCTACTTAAAGGTAAATCATTTTTGAGTAGCTAAAATGGTTTTAGCTGATTGCAGGCAGCTGACGAAGGTGAAATACAGTTCTCACACTGTACAGTTACAGTGCAAACTGTCTACTTTTAAGCTTTAAAAATCCGTAACATTGATAGAGTTGGGTAAAGAGCTATGAATTAACTTAAATATCTGCAATAATTCTGAAGTAAAAAAATAGTTCTTGGGGGGAAAAAAAAAGCAAGCCCTATCCAAACTACAGGTTCTTAATAGATGCTTAATTCATAAAAAATTCAAACAGAGCTAAAGGACTAACACTAGTTGCTTCAAGAACTTGTTAGTAACGCTTGTCAGAACCTATGGAAAACTTTTTAAGTATGACACTTTTCTTCAAATTGTTACTATTGGGGAAAGATGCAAAAATGATTAATTTTTATAGCTTACCAAAATTTTATTTGAAATAAAAACCTGAAATCTAACTTAAAATTGTAAGTTATATAATGGAGATTTTACCAGAGTTGTGAGCCTTCTCAGTCACTTATTTAAGATAAGGGTTAAGGGCAGAGAAGAACAGAGAGGCATACGGGTAGACAGTGGGCAGGATAAGCACACTATTAAAAATACAACAGTACCACAAAACATGTGAAGACAGCAGAACAGTAGGAACTAGAGAGAGGACCTGAGGGTGCAGAGGCAAAGGTTGTTGGCTTCTTTACCTGCACAAGGGATGACTCAAGGTTTTAAATTAGCCCTTGGGAGGTTGGGAAAGGGACAGGGCCGGTGCCATTTGCGCTCTGGAAAACTGTCCAATTTTTAGCTTCCTGCAACAGCGATCATGGACACATAGTGGCTCAAGCTTGGACATTGACTTTATGATGTCTACACCAGCCTGAACCAGCAATTAAATGAAGTCTGTTGTGCTCCGCTGTTCTCAGTTCTGTTGGTTGTCCCCTCCTTTGCAGTTTAACCTGTCCAAATATCCTCCACCCACAAAGCCAATGAGAAGTGGAGCCAGAACATAACTGGTATTTCATTATTTCAGCCACTGTTTGGCATCCTTTTCATGTCCTAACAAATGCAAGGGAGAGATCTGCAGCTCAATCTGTACCAGCATAGCCTCTTCATCAACAGTGGTACTCCAGCTAAAGATTTGACCCAAGCTAGGAAGCTAGCTAAAAATAGGAATGCATTACAAAAAGTAAGAAGAAAAAAAAATGAACAGGGTTCCTCTATCTGTGTGTTATAGCATTACTATGACAGCACTCTTTCTGGCAGCTTGTTTAAATGTGTTATTTATAGCACTAGCTTCTTCAGATCTTCAACAGGTAAGTCTTATTAAAAAACCCCTCTGTTAAACTGAATTTCTTATCGAACATGTTTTTCTTAGCATTTTAGAGAACAAAATTAGAACTAGCTTTTTCAAGCAACTTAAGTTCAAGGGGTTTGCTTTATGGTTGTTTTTTTTTAATGCAATCCCATTTACATCATTAGCTAACACTATTTTTCCTGTTAATAAATTTTCCTCCCTTCCAGTTCAGAAAGAAGTGGTCTTACAAGTGCTTAATAGAATAAATGATACAAGAAGTAGAAAAACAAAACTAATACTGTAACCTGTACTACTTTTCTCTAAAATAAAAAGCAGTTCTCACAGGTTGGAATGCTTAGTGGCAACATATAAGATCTCATTAACACCTATTCCACTCTGTATCCAAAGACTATTGTAAGAGTTACTCTAATTTTCCCTTATAAAACAGACAATGCTAGAGACCAGCAACTGATGTAGGGAGAGGGGGGGGGAAAGGAAAAAAACCACAGAAAAAAGGAAAGAAAAATAAAATCCTACCTTTATGATGTTGCAGTCAAAGAGAACATAAGCACCTTAGCAGGGAAGAGGCATTACGCTCACTACTTTGACAAAAGTAAACACGCCCTATCTACAGAACCCTTTCAAATTCTTCAGAGACCCACCCAGCAAAGCTGCACTTCAAGATTTCTGACTGAAGGCAATCCTGATGTCATATGTATCTACTCAGTGAAACTCAGGAGTAGTAATGCTGAGTGCCTTCCCTTGTGCTTGTTTCAACATAGTAGATGAAGAAACGTTTGAAGTCACGTGGTATTTTGTTGCACGATGAGAACTCGTCTCAGCTTATATTGCTCTATACGTGGCAGGGGAGGATGCTGCGCCTGCTGATTGAGCAGAAAAGGAAGCCCCAAATGCGCCACTTCATGCTGATATTTTTATACGCATTTTAGATGAAGTCTGGGATTTCAAATAAAGTTAGAGAAAGGTTTCTGCTCCTATTGACCAGCCTCAGGAATATTTCCAGCCTCAACCAACTAAATGTTTTACACAAAAGTGTTCCAGTTCCTCAGAAGATAGAAGCGGAATTTTTGAAATTCCTAAAGCAGAGGGAAACATACACTGGGTGTATGTTTGGTTAGAGATGCCATACAAGCATGTGTTTAATTATTTTTTTTTAAAATTCCACAACTAAGGAACAAGCCTCAAAGTCATACCTCACCAGCTCTCCCCAGTTTCAAATACTGGGCATTCAGTAAGAGCATTCAGAAATGTTGGCATTACTTAGCATTCTTAATGTTCACAAGGAAGGAGAGAACCTCACTGACAAGCCAGGAGCAGAGAACCTCTTATTAGCCCTTTCTTCCTGCTTGCAGTCAGCAAACAGCAACCCATGAAGTAGGAACAGGCATGTCAAAGTTAAACCAAAGTTTCACCTCACCCAGCATACTGTCTCTGAAGGCAGCTAATAGCAGATGACTAAGGAAGAGTACAAGAACAGAATAAACACAAAATAGTAACTGATGATATCCCCAGCCTTCAGTAGTTTGGAACTCACAGACTTCCTAAACCACAGATTGTGTCTATGTAAATAACACTGGAGAGGTTTCCTCCCCCTGGCCTTAATTTCCACAGCTCCTTTTGAGTATACTGAAACTTTGATAATCCAAAGGACTGCAATAAAAGAAGATGTAACCCAGACAATATTTGGATCCTGTCCATTTGTTTCCCTCCAGAGAAGAGTTTGGGCTTGTTCATATAGTTTTGCTTGGTGGGGTGGTTTTTTTTGAGGTATTATATTTTGCAACTATTGCAAGCCTTCAGTCCTTCCGTAAAACTGAGAGCAGTATTCAATAAACTGATGAGCCAGATTAATATTAAACATGAAGGATTATTTCAGAAAGGTAGCATTATGGTTTTGCTGTTGCTTTAAATTATCTCCATGCTTTCCCACATCTGAACCACTAGCATGAACCAAGCCGAACACTTAGGAACACTTTGCCAATTAGGAAAGCCTAGAGCAACCTGATTCATACATCACTTGGGTAATACTGTGCCAGTAATGTAATAGGTAATTGGCAGAAACACCTCTTTCTTATGCCTCAATCCATGATTTCTTCACTGTTACGCTAAATTACAAAAACCATGTTTGTTTGACTGGAGCAAATGTGGGGCTGCTACATATAATAAACTGGGAGAAAGTATTTTTATACACTTTTTGAGGAGCATTTGTTAGGTAGCACTCACCACCTACGTAGGACCCTATTACAAGATTAAAGATATTACATGGTAAATAATAAGCTAACCATAACCTCTTGATCAAAGCTGCCCACTGACCTTTCAATTATCACTCCACTTTCATAGTACTTATCCTTCAGGTATCTTACATTTGAACGCTGCAAAAAAGAAAACCAACCAACCAAAACATGCCATTGCAATCTGTATGTTTGAGAAAAAAAGTGTTACTACTCCTTACTTGCAGCATAACACCTACTCAATCATACAATTATATTTAATTAGATAATGGAGGCATGTAATTGACCCAAATAATTATTTCACATATCACTGGAAATTATTTATAAGTTTTCAGTGGAAAAAATATTAGAACAAGAAAAATTCATAAAATTCACTTCTTTATGTTCCAGCCAGTTAAATACCTAAATTATAGCGAATCCACACATTGGATGTGAGCTTTCACCTGAGCTTCTAAGCAGTTACATAAGAAAGATTATAGCATTAGTTAACTTTCTCAGTAGAGAAAACCCTCTTGGCAAATCTTTGAGACTGTATCAAGTCTTAAACTTCTAGAATCAGAGCTGTTGAGTATGATGGCATCTGCAGGGGGAAGAAGAAAAACAACCCCAAAACCTCAGGGCTTTTTTTGTTTCCCTTTGTACAAAAACCTTAAAATTCATCTGGGGAACCCACAGATAAATGTTCTAAATGTATTGCCTATTAGTACCTAGTCATTTTTGCTAACTGATTATCTCAATGACAGAGTTAATCAAATGTCAGTCCTATATATACACAGAAAAAGCAGGAATCAATTTGATCTAATAATAATAGTTTGGCCTGAGTGAATCGCATGAAATTCAACAAGGCCAAGTGCAAGGTCCTGCACGTGGGTCAGCGCAATCCCAAGCACGACTACAGGCTGGGCGAGGAATGGATTGAAAGCAGCCCCGAGGAGAAGGACTGGGGGGTATTGATTGATGAGAAGCTCAACATGAGCCAGCAGTGTGCGCTTGCAGCCCAGAAAGCCAACTGTGTCCTGGGTTGCATCAAAAGAGGCGTGACCAGCAGGTCGAGGGAGGTGATCCTGCCCCTCCACTCCGCTCTTGTGAGACCCCACCCACAGTACTGCGTCCAGCTCTGGGGGGGCCCAGTACAGGAGAGACATGGAGCTGTTAGAGAGCCCAGAGGAGGGCCAGGAAGCTGACTGGAGGGATGGAGCATCTCTCCTATGAGGACAGGCTGAGAGAGTTGGGGTTGTTCAGCCTGGAGAAAAGGCGGCTCTGGGGAGATCTAATTGCAGCTTACCAGTTTCTGAAGGGGGCCTACAGGAAAGATGGTGAGGGACTGTTTATCAGGGAGTGTAGCGACAGGACAAGGGGGGGACAGGTTTAAGCTGAAGGAGGGTCGATTTAGATTAGATGTGAGAAAGAAATTCTTTACTGTTATAGTGGTGAGTCTCTGGCACAGGTTGCCCAGAGAGGTTGTGGAGGCCCCAACCCAGGAAGTGTTTAAGGCCAGGTAGGATGAGGCTTTGGGCAACATGGTCTAGTGGAGGGTGTCCCTGCCCATGGCAGGGGGGTTGGAACTAGATGATCTTTAAGGTCCCTTCCAACCCAAACCATTCTATGATTCTATGACCCTGAATTCTCTTTTCACCACCAGTGAAACGCACCTTCTTGTCATCTGGTATTCCTTCATGATTAAGGTAAAAAACCCTGATATTCCTATACTTTCTGCTCTTCAAGAATCAACAAATATCTGAAAATGAATCAGTCACATGTTCAAGGACATCAATATCATAACTCATAATCTTGCAATCTGTAGATTAAAAGCTAAGCTCCTCTTCACGTGAATCTGCATCTTCTAATCTACCAATCTTCCCCTACATAAAAGGGATGAAGACGACCATTTACAATCTCTTGAAAAGATCTCTCCTCAAGACCTTTCTTACTAGGAAGTATGACCTGGTTTGTAATCCATACAGAGTTTTAAGTAAGGAGAGGTTCATTTCTAATTAATTAATAATACCGTCTGTCATAATTGAAGACTAGATACCTGATTTTGAACAGAGCAAGCATTAAGGTAATAAACACTTTTTGTACATGAATGCCATTGCAGGACTAAATCAGGAATACACACAATGTGACAACATAGGCTGAAATCTTCAAAATGCTTAAATCTTTTTAAATCGTTTCAGAATTTAGTTCCTGTGAATTTTAATAAGAATTAGAGAATTTGAATTTGAGAATCTGGGCCTTAATATCAAGAAGAAAGATGACAATTGGATAAAAAGGGGATGTCAGTAGTAACACTGGAAGGATAAAGACAGTGGAGAGAAGTGAAGAAACACTAACAGACTCTACTGCTGACCCAAGCCACCATCATTTCACTAAAATGCAGAGAACAGGATTGTTAATAGGCTTCAAATATCCCTTAGAATCACAGAATACCAGGTTGGAAGGGACCTCAAGGATTATCTCATCCAATCTTTCTTGGCAAAAGCTCTGTCTAGACAAAGGCACCGCCTAGACGAGATGGCCTAGCACTCTATTCAGCCAAATTTCCAAAGCGTCCAATGTTGGGGAATCCACCATTTCCCCGGGGAGATTATTTCAATGGCTGATTGTTCTTATTTTGAAAAATTTTCCTCCATTGTCCAATCAGAATCTCCTCAGGAGTAACTTGCACCCATTACCCCTCATCTTTTCCATGTGACTCCTTTTAAAAAGGGGGTCTCCTTTTTCTTTGTAGCCACCCTTTAAGTACTGGAACATGGTGATGAGGTCTCCCCTAAGCTTTCTTAAGCTGAGCAAACCCAGTTCTCTCAGCCTTTCCTCATATGGCAGACTTCCCAGTCCTTTTATCATCGTGGTGGCCCTTCTCTGGACCCTCTCTAGTCTGTCCACATCTCTTTTGTATAGCAGGGACCAAAATTGAACACAGTATTCTAGGTGTGACCTGACAAGCGCTGAGTAGAGTGGAATAATGACTTTTTATCTACTGGTGATGCTGTTGTTGATGCAGCCCAGCATCCTGTTGGCTCTCTTTGCCACTGCAGCACACTGTTCACTCATATTGAGCTTGTTGTTCACCATGACCCCCAGGTCCCTCTCCAGAGAGCTGCTCTCCAGCCAGGTGGATCCCAGCTTGTGCTGCACTCCTGGATTATGTTTTCCCAGGTGCAAGACCTTACACCTGTCCTTGCTGAACTTCCTAAGGTTCTTGTTAGCCCACTCTTCCAGCCTCTCTAGGTCTTCCTGCAGGGTGGTTATCCCTTCCAAAGTGTCTGCTTCCCCACTCAGTGTGGTATCATCTGCAAACTTCATCAGGGTGC